ACATGCTGTTCAGCCCCACATGCTAACGCCTTGTGTTTACTTTCCTGCTGTGCCAGGACTACTCTCTACTCACTTTATCTTTCCTTGTACTTGCTTTTTTTATATCTTGTATCCACTGCTGTGTGGCCTGACATACACCTTTTCTGCTATTCAGGGTTTTTTGGGGCTGATGTTTGGCTCAGCTTTGTAGTTCATCTTACATGTGATTCACAGCTTTTACAGTCATTCTGAGGGATGTGTGGCTGGGGGAGGCAATTAGATCTTGTTAGCTCTTTTTGCATCTTTAAAGCATAGGTCCCTGTGGTGCACAACCAAAACCAAGCAGGAGCTGTACAGCCTTCAGAATTTTAAGATAATAAGATTCCATGCAGGGATAAGGCACTATATTTGTTGATTCTTATCTTCCACACTTAAGAAAATCCTCTAAGTTAGCTTCCGAGTGAACCCAAAAGAGCTGTAATCTCTCCATCAGGGTGTATTTTGTAGCCGGCATTAAACCAAGCATTGGCAGGATGTAAAAGCTGATCAAAGGCGTTACCTGAAGCCATTAGTTTTAAGTATGAGACTGAGGAGGCGGTGGCTGCTAGGTGCCTCTGAAAGCCTTCCAGGTTCACGCATATAAAAATAACTGCCACTGCACAAAGACCAAAGCTTAACCTGGAGAAATGCCAGGGCTTGGGCTTCAAGGCAGAGGACAGATGAGACCCGGCCACCATGCAGTCAGTCACTGAGGCTGAAGAACTAACTAGTGAACAATCTGTTCTGGTTGCACCAGTCATGGAAATGACTTGAGAAATGGTACAAGTCCATAGTCCAAACTGCCTTTAGCAACATGGGAAAGATTCTGTAGGAGGACTGGCCTTGATACAAGTAAATATTTATTAATAACATATGTAGAATTTCAATATACTTCTCAGATATATAATAATGTGTAATAATATAAAATAAGAGTAAATCATAGTTAAACTCTTAGTTTTGACCAAGAGATGGGAATTCTATGGTTTAGCACACATTTGCACAACTGTTTTCTCTGGTTTAGGTTGTCAGTAGTAAGCAACAATATAAGTGGCAAAGGACTTGTAGCTCTTTCAGAGGCAATGAAAACAAACACAGAACTTTCCTGTATTTACATCTGGGGGAACAAATTTGATGAAGCCACCTGTATGGTAAGTGCTTGCTTCTGAACTCCTCTAAGAGGGTTGGAGTTTGTTTGTCCTAGTTCATGTTTACAGTCATTGTGAAAACTACAGCAATTACTGAGCAAGATACTTGAATAGCTATGGGGTTTATTTAAATAATTATAATATGGTGGTGCTGTAATGAGACTCACTGGACATCAGCATACTGAAATAATCAAGTACTCTCCTGTTGTGTGTTATCTTCTAAAGACTTCACTGCAATCAAAGGAGAATATTCTGTGTCTCATTCTTGGTTTTACTCATTTCAGGCATTTTCAGAATTAATTCAGATGAGCCGCCTGAAACTTAATTGCACAGACGTGGAGCCTTATGAAGTGGATGGGCACATTTACCTTGCAGAGCTCTCCCATGGCCTGCAGAAGCATTACTACTGGACACCAAGTTATTGGGCCATGACAAAAAAGGCTGCTAATGCCAGTCTGGCAATTGCAGGTGTTTCAGAATACTTGTGAGTGAGGTAGCAGCTTGAAGCATTCGGTATGCTTGAGCTTTTCCTGTCTGGTTTCTAGTAAACAAGATTGTATCAATATCAGACTTGCTGCATGTTGTTTCTTCAGGGTCTTTGGTCTGGAAAGAATCTAAACCTGCTCGAAATGGCATTAGAGATAAGATATTGAACCAGTGACTTTAAAATTCGTTGAGAAGCAACAGCCAATATATTAAGAGCCTATTAATACCAAAATGGGCTATTTCTGCTGCAATCATTTCTATTGCACACTATCT